TCCGGGCTCCAGCCGGCCGGGGTCTCGCCCCTCCTCTCTCACTACCCGCAAACCCCACCCCCGTCTCTCCTTCCCCGGGGCGACGGCGGCCGCGAGAGCGCGGAGCCGTGAGGGAAGGAGGCGGCGCCGGGGACCGGCGGAGGGAGAAGGAGGGTGCAGGGGAAGACGGGGCGGGGGGAAGGGAGGGGGAGACCGGGAGAGGGCGACTCCCACAATCCGAGCCCCGGGAGGCGCCCCGGATCCCGGCCCCTCCCTAGACTGCCCACAGCTCTGGAGGGAGTAGAGGTAGGTAGGATGGAAGGGACAAGGGCGCTCACGCACACGGGCGGGGACTGATTGCTGCCGGGAGATCTGCGGGCTAGACTGCTGGAGACCGAGGGGGAGGGGGGGAGTGAGACGACCGGAGCCCAAAGGGAGGGGAGCTGGCACTGAGACAGAAGCCTGGATGAAGGTGGAGAAAAGGATGTTTGTACAAAGAGAAGACAGATCTGGATCCTGGCAAAGGAGGGAAGCAGATGCCAAGGGCCTGGAGAACAGACCTTGGAAGAGAAGGGAGAAGCCAGGGTCAGAAGGGCAGCTGAGGGTGGAGGGGACGCCAGGAGCCTCCTAAGCGGGAGAAAAATGGGGTAGGGAAGCTGGAACTGGGAGCCTAGGGTGGCTTTGTGGTCCAGCAGTAAGCTTCTTGCTGGGTTTATGGCAGGGAGCAAGAGACCTGGGGCATCAAGGAAAGAAACTGAGGTAAATGGAGATGAGGGGGGCATAAAGAAAGAGAACCATCAGGTGAGCAGGAGCCAGTATTATCATCCACACTGGCACCAGACCAAATACCAGGAGTTCTCTAAGGCAGAGAGGTCTGACAGGCAAGGCGCCTGCATTGCAATCGTCCTTACTAATGATGATGGATGGAAAGATGAGAAAGGGACTCCTGCCAAGAAGAAAAGAGGGACACTCCTTTGCGGCTAATTCATCCAGAAAGGTGAAAGGAAACCAGGTATTGTAGACCCAGGAGAAATGAGTCTCAACTTTCAATCCTATATTAGGACAAATGTTTGTAATGACTCCTAAACTACGAACTGATTGATGACATCAGTTCCCTGTGCACGTGACTAAAAAGATCAAAATATTTCCCCATCTCTAAGGAGGAAATAAGAGCATAATGATTTGTAATAAAATAACATAAACAGTATTTTAGTGCATGAGTGCCTACTTTCACTCGAAGCAGGAAGATGCTTACACCTCTCCATAGAATCACAGAGATGAAACTTCTACCAACACGCACTAATACAGGTGAACAGCCAGTGACTCAACTACCTCCAGCATGTTGCCATCAATGAAGTCACTTCAGGAAATGTTGAGCAACTCTTGGTACCAAAGTCAAGCTTCCCTAAACTCACACGGAACTGTAATTGTATTCTTAGAAAGTCCGCTGCATATTCAGACCATTAAAAAAACTATTAAGTTCTAGGCTCACATAATTAAACACAAGTTTTCACCTACATGAATGTCCTAGGGGACTTCTGAAAGTCTGGATAAAAGAGAACTCTATCTGGCAGAAGGGTAGTTTTTACACTGGCTCTGCCCAAAACTATGTGCACTGTTCCCCCCACCCCCCACCCCCCCACACCCATACACGTGCACATAAATAAAAAAAAAAACACCTACAAAATTTTAAATATTGCCTGGAGAGAGACTTGAGAACCACTGGACTAGACAATGAGCAAAGGAGAGTTAAGAAGGATTTCTACCCAATGGAAATGATAGCCATCCTCTGAGTAACCTGTCCTCTCAATAGGACAAAACCAAAGAAATTAACTAAATGAAGTTACAGACACCAGAAAGCAAAGCTCAGACTATCAGAAAGAAGAGCTACCTGACTCAGTGTCAAGACTGAAGGCTAGTCCATCTGTCTGGTCATGTACCTATCTTGGGTGTTACCATGTGATCCTGGCAAAACTGAGCCTAGGAGACCCCTCCTCAGATCCAGCAGGACCCTGATAAAATGGAACATTTGAGCAAGCATGCTTGCAGGAATCACAAACCACTCTCAAAACCCTTGTATGAGCACTCTGATGTGTTCACTGCTAGAACACTGAAGCTGCCATTTTCTGTTCTCATACCTTTTCATTCTCCAGTATGATTTCCAGAATTCCTTGTATGTATTACTCAGGACATCTGTTTAGATCCTTCCCCCAAATCACATTGTGTTAGCCCTGTTCTTCTCATTTAGTGGGAGACAGTGTTGGGCTGCACACATGTTAAGTGCTCCATTGTATCTCTAGCCCTCTACTTCTTTTCCTTCTACAACAAAGACAAAAGCTTCCCTCTTCTGGAAAGGTCCTTGGGCACAATCTCTTCTATGCAAGGTGTGCCTTTGCAATGCTATCTCCTTTTGCAGTTCTTCACCATTTTCCATGGAAATGGAGGAGTTTCTACTTTGATTCGCCGAGAATGGCCAATCTTCTTGTTCATTTTATTTCCCATATTTCCCTTCCAACTTCTTTTCTCCATTATTCCTCTTCTACCCACCCCAAAGAGCATAAAGCTTAAAAGTATCAGAAGCCCTGAAAACACAATAACCAGAGTAGCCTGGTTTGATTACTTATAAAATGTTTGACTCCTCAGGTAGATGCCATCTAATCCTCATACCACCACACAAAGTAGATAGATGTTTATGCTCTTCTATTGAACTGCTTAGAGAAAAAAAAAAAGAGTACCACAGCTAGAAGTCAGCAGAGCTGACTCTAGCTCAATGCTCTACATCCATATTAAAAATTTTAAGACAGTCTCACCATGTAGTCCTGGCTGACTTGGAACTTGTTGTATAGAACAGGATAGCCTTTGAGTTGTGGTAATCCTCCAGCCTCTACTGCTTGAGTGCTGGAGTTACACTCATGTGCCACCATGCCTAGACTCATATTCCTCATGTTGCATTTAAAAGTTTAGTCTTGCCAAGCATCGGAGTACATGCCAATAAGCCTAGCACTTGTAAGGTTGAGTCTGGAGGATTACTACTAGTTCAAAGTCAGTCTGTCACACAGAGTTTTAGTCCAAGCTGGTGACAGAAAGAGAAAGGAAGGAAGGAAGGAAGGAAGGAAGGAAGGAAGGAAGGAAGGAAGAAAGAAAGAAAGAAAGAAAGAAAGAAAGAAAGAAAGAAAGAAAGAAAGAAAGAAAGAAAGAAAGCTTAGAGTTGAATCTTTGTTTTGGGTCTGTTTGTATGGTTGTGTTGTTATTGCTCTGTTTGGAATATTGTCTTTTCTTTTTGTTTTACAGAGAAGGTCTTAAGTATGTAGTCCAGGCTGGTCTAACACTCAGATTTGCTAAAGAACCAGGGATAGCCTTAATCTCCTAACCCTTCTGCCTCCATATCCTGAGTGCTGGACTTGTAGACATGTGCCACTGACACTGAAAGCCTGGTTTGGTATTGGTGTAGTCCTATCTATCCTCTAACGCTCACTCCCACAGCATTCTTCAAAGGCTAAAATGCAGTTCTTCTGTTCTGTTTTCTTGCCTGACGGGGAGTAGAAAGCATATGAAGGACAAGTTGACCACATCTATAAGGTGAAGGAAATGTCCTCAGGGAATTTTCTGTCCCATACAACTTGTGCTGTTTAGAAATAGGTATTGGATAAGACTTCAAAATTAAGACATTGGTCTTATTTACACTCTGGGCATCTCCACTTCCCCACATGTGTGTGTGTTAAACTGAACACTTGCAGAGAGGTTTGTGGTGAGTAGTGCCTATATCACAGGACTCAGGAGGCTTGTTTCCAGAGAGATGGTATAAGTTTGAGGCCGGTCTGGGCTGCATAGTGAGTCGAGGCCAGGCTGCTGGGCTTCAGCGTGAAACACTGTCTCTCACCCCCACCCCACTCTGCCCGTCAAAAAAATTCCAGAAATGTATTGCTGTTGTATCTGGAAGTTGAAAGCATAAAGTTGAGGTTCCACTACTTCCTGACAGATGACTCCTTTCTAGTTACATCCCTACACTGTGCTTGTGAAAGAGACACACAAGCTCCTCACCTACACTGCCTCCTGCCATGCTGAGGAGTCCAGCCCAGGCCTTGTGTGTGCTAGGCAGTCATTCTCCCACTGAGCCAAATCCCCAGCCCAAGTGGGCTTTCTCTATAAAAATACTAATTAGTTTCCCAAATGGCCCACCTCTGAATACTATCACACTGTGTACATTAGGTCTCAGCACCAAAACTGGGGAAGCAGAGGACACCAACATCCAGATCACGGCAAGGGTGTGTTCTGACACTTCTGGCCTATGCTTCTCTGCCCCAGCATAGGACATAGGAAGATTAGTGACTGATGTTGTGACTTCGCAGCCAGACACAAGTGAGCCTAGTTCAGAATTCACAAAACCTCAGTGAGATAAGAAAACCACACCATGAAACCCTTTTTCTAGCTCACATCTCCCTGTCTCAGGAGCACTCACAGCCAATAACCAGGTTACCAAGTTGGCGGTGTGGATTGCCTCTATAAATAATGTCTTCACAAGTAAGCTCTTATGTAATAAGTGAATGAGCACAATGTAATTAAATGTTAGAGTAACCAAAGCAATAATAAAGCTGTGAAGCTTATCTTCACAGTATAGACAAGTGTAGGCTAACTGACCCTAGACCAGGCTCAGTTCTTACCAACACAAATTTATGGAGCATTTATACTCCCAGAACTGTGAAATTATCAAGTTTTTTAAATTTTCAAAATAAACTAAGAAATATGTATGTGTGTATGTATGTGTGTATGTATGAATGCATTACATAGTTAAGGCCAGAAGATGGTTCCATGAGTAAAGGTATTTGCTGCCAAACCTGACAACTTGAGTTCAGTTCCCTGATTCTATATAGTAGGAGAGAAACGAATCTCAAAAGTTGTTCTCTGAGCTCTATACACATGCTGCAGCAGGCACGTGCACACACACAAGAGAGAGATTAAAACTAGAAAAGAAAGTACTCTATTGTCTCCCTATTTCTTTTTTCTAAGTGTGGAAGGTGTACAGAGTTTATTACAGAGTGAGGTGAGTCTCAAAGGATGAGGCTAGAAAATGTCCAAAAACTCCACTGTACAGCAGTGCACTCTCATGGGGCTCGGAGAATATACCT